TGAGAGGGAGTTTCGCTCTTGTTGCCCAGGCTGGAGTGCAGAGGCACCATCTCAGCTCACCGCAACCTCCGCCTCCTGGGTTCAAATGATTCTCCTGCCTCAGCCTCCTAAGTAGCTGGGATTACAGGTGCCCACCACCACACCCGGCTAATTTTTATATTTTTAGTAGAGACGGGGTTTCACCATGTTGGCCAGGCTGGCCTCAAACTCCTGACCTCAGGTGATCTGCCTGCCTCAACCTCCCAAAGTGCTGCGATTACAGGTGTGAGCCACCATGCTGGGCATTATTATCTCCTTTAAAAGGTAAATGGTACAGAAAGGATAGAGGCAGGGAACTCGGGTCTGCAGATAGCTGGTACAGAGACCTTTCCACTAATTCTCCAGTCTTGCTACAAAACCTACTTCTGCACTCCAGCTTCCCACTGAAAAGACCTCAGAATCAACATGACTGTCAACTCTTGCAAATCAGCACTCCCAAAATGCTCAGGTGTCCTTTCAAAATGCCTGCCCTTTGGCTGTGCTTTCATTCCATCTCCATTCTCCCTCTCCACGTTTTCACCTCGGTCTGCATTGATATTTTTCTCTTCCCCACAAAGAAAACTAGATCTAGTCATAGCCAGTAGAGACAGTGCTGTGAGAAAGTAATTACAAGACCTGAAAGATATATATGTTTTCCTAAACTTTGGAAATGCAGGGGGATGACAGAGGAAGAGTGTATATGTGTGTTGTATATAAGTATATGTGTTTTGATAAATATAATTTTCTGAATTATCAGAATAGGCTAGATTAAATAGACTAGATTAAGTTACTTATCCAAGCTCATACAATTTCAAATTGACCTCCAAATTTCAGTGACTCATTACAGTAGTTTTTTCTTATTCATGCCCCTGCCAATGTGGGCTGTGGGTAGAGAAGTCCTCTGCTCCGTATGGTCACTCAGGAGTCCAGGCTGATGGAGCACTGCTGGTCACTGTGGCAGAGAGACAATGCCCTTTGTCCAAGAGCACACAGCACATTGTCACTGTATTCACAGCACATTGTCCATGCCTAACTGCAAGGGGGCTAGGAAGTCGGGGAGGGCACGTGGCTATTTGGTGAGCCAGAAATATCTCTGCTACAGTGACATAGAGAATTGAAATGTATTCCTTTTCTGTCCTAGAATAGCTTCACAGGGGAAAAAGGGTCTGAGCCATAGGAATTCAGAGCTGCAGAAATATGAATGAACTGCTTCCATTCATATTTATGTCCATTCATTAAGTATAAAGGATATTATCAGACTTGCATTGCCTTTTATGTTTCTACCGTAAGTACTTCCACCTATATTCTGACAGATTTTTAAAAATCAAGAAGATACCTTTTCTCCTTAATTTTTCCTGAAACAACAGGCAGACTTTATCCTAATTAGGACAAGCAATATGTGAAAGCTAAAGTTTCCTCCTGTGCCACGCTCTGGGGGTGGGGGTAGAGATCGTCCGCACTTGTTCACCAGTGTGTCACTCCTACCCTCCCCTGCTCTCCTCAGCCAGCCGCTCCCTCCCCACAGCTGTCCGTTAGCATGTATTCAGTCCTGGCTGAAATCTGATAACTGGGTTTGCAATTCGTTTTTTGAATGGAAGGTACAAAAAGCACTAAACCTGAAACTTAGAAGTAAAAGAGACTTTTTTTGTATGCCACCACGAACTGCTTGAAATCGTGTCCCCAGATCCTCTTTTCCCTCCAGTTTGCAGAGTCCCAGTTAAAGCATGGCTCCTCTGAGCACTGAGGACTTGGTAAAAGGACTCTCAGAGGCAGTGGAGACAGTTCTGCTCTGCATCTAATTCGGGCCAAAGGAGTCAAGTGTCTGTGACCTTGACGCTGGGGATGGGGTGTGGAGTTATTTCCCAGGACACCTGATTCCCATAAACCCCAGTCATACCTTCTACTGAATAAATGATAGCACAACCCTCATGTGGGGCCCTGCAAGACGTTCTGATGTTTGGACTAGAAATTGCTGAATTTAGAATGGCGGATTTCCAGATCTGTGATTCTAAAAGAGAAAAGAGTCAAGAAAAAAAAGGGGGGAGCTTCTCGGAAATAAAATTCCAAGCAGAGAAATATGAACGAGCCGGGGGCCTGAGCAGGGCGCGCTGCCCGGAGCTGCCTAGATTGCGCTGCCGGCCACGTCCCCGCGCCGAGCCGTGAGCTCCTTCCTACCGTCCTAGGGCCGCCGGGCCGCCGCGGGCCTGCTGAGCCCGAATGCGTCTGTTACCAGAGTGGAGAGTCTACCTTCGTCTCACATGTGCCACAAAGGATGGCATGGCCCGGGAGTGCCCCACCACGTGGCTTTCACCCCCTGCAAAGCCGGACCTCGCCCAGTGACACAGTGTCAAGCCCGCAGCTCTCCAAGGAGGAAGACGGCCCAGGCTGGGGGCATGCCTTCAGCCGCGGCCTCTGATCCCTTGGCCAAGCAGGAGAGAACTAGTAGCAGCCTGAGGAGCTGGCTGGCTGGGAGCCTCAGGGAATCGCACAACCTTGCTCCCAGCTCACGCGCAAGATGTGGACAGCTCTTGTGGTCATTGGGATTTTCTCCTTGTCCTTATCGGAAAGTCATGCGGCATCCAATGATCCACGCAACTTCGTCCCTAACAAAATGTGGAATGGGTTAGTCAAGAGGAATGCATCTGTGGAAACAGTTGATAATAAAACGTCGGAGTAATAAAACTTCTGCCTAACCACGGCAGCAACTTCTCCTGTCACATTGACCAAAGGGACTTCGGCAGCCCACCTCAACTCTACGGAAGTCACAACAGAGCACACAAGCAGGACAGACTTGAGTGAACCAGCAACTTTAGGAAGTGCAGCTGATGGTGCGGCCTCGTGTACGACTGAGACCTCCAGTGCTCCCACGACTGAGGCCTCCAGTACGACTGCAGCCTCCAGTGCTCCCACGACTGCGGCCTCCAGTATGACTGCAGCCTCCAGTGCTCCCACGACTGCGGCCTCCATTATGACTGCAGCCTCCAGTGCTCCCACGACTGCAGCCTCCAGCACTCCCGCGACACTCGTACCCATCACGCCCATATCCACATCCACTACCGCCACTGGGCATCCATCTCTCAGCACAGCCCTGGCACAAGTGCCAAATAGCAGCACGGTGCCAAGAACAGCAACCCTGGCCACGTTGGCCACACATGCTCAGACTGTGGCCACCACAGCAAACATGGGCAGCCCCATGAGCACTCGGCCAAGTCCTTCCAAGCACATGCCCAGTGACATCATGGCAAGCCCTGCAGCCCCTACGCGTCCCCAGGCACAAGGTCCCATTAGCCAGGTGTCAGTGGACCAGCCTGTGGTTAACACAACCCCAGAGCCCACCCCCAACCTCACAGTGGTGACCACCACCAAGGCACAAGCCAAGGAGCCAACTGCCAGCCCAGTGCCAGTGCCTCACACCAGCCGAACCCCTGAGGTGGAGGCCACGTCCCCCACGACACAGCCAAGCCCCACGCCATACACCCAGAGAGCCGCTGGGCCAAGCACACCCCAGGCACCGGAGCAGGTAGCGACTGAAGCCACACCAGGTACTGATTCCACTGGGCCAACACCCAGGAGCTCAGGGGGCCCTAAGATGCTAGCCATGGACTCCTGCCAGCCCAGCACCCAAGGCCAGTACCTGGTGGTCACCACTGCGCCCCTCACCCAGGCCGTGGTGGACAAAACTATCCTCCTGGTGGTGCTGTTACTCGGGGTGACCCTTTTCATTACAGTCTTGGTTCTGTTTGCCCTGCAGGCCTATGAGAGCTACAAGAAGAAGGACTACACCCAGGTGGACTACTTAATCAATGAGATGTATGCGGACTCGGAAATGTGAGGGGGCGGGGCCTGGCGGGAAGCTGGGCCCCTTCCTTGTCCTTTCGTTTTGCCTTTGAGACCAAACCAAGTACTTCCAAATTCTTTTGGTGCAATTTAGGAGATATGCCAGATGCTTAAACACATTTAATTGCTGTCAGGTTAATTCCATGATCACTAAAGAGTTGCTACTTTTTTCAAAAAAAAAAGAAATATAAATGAGTCTATTGTTGGGGAAAGGGCACCTTTGGAAGCTGATGTGTGTCCTGCTGGTTCTGCCCTGTGGTCTCTCTTTCTTGATCAGGCCTGCTTCCTCCTGGTGTTCCGCAGGCCTGGAGTGAGGTCCTGTTCCGGTCCTCATCAGACCTACACCCGCCATGCTTTTGGTTTCTCTCTTCTCCAAATCCCTGGCTGAGTTGGACAGTCCTGAGGCTCAATTTTTTTCCTGCCATTCCTACAAATCTGCATCCAACCCCTCGGGCATAAGGTATTTTATTGGCAATTCACTGAGAAAAACAGAAGAGGGTCAGACATATGCAATGATGGAGAAATCCCAGAGGTGGCCAACATCTCAGGGCCTCAGAGCAGCCATTCCCAGAGGGGACAGCAAGGTCGGCTGCCCCCTGTCCCTGCCCCCTCCTTTATTGTCCCGTTTGCTCCACCACAGCCTCCCCCTGCTCCAGCACCTGGGTGGCTCTCCTCGGGATGGGAGTGGCTGTCCAGGTGTGGAAGGCAGTAGTGAAAGCACAGGTGCCGTTGGAGTGTCCCAGATGATGATTCACATCTCAGGGAACTTCAGATGAGAGGTTTAACTTCAATGAAAGATTTTTCTCCCCAAGGGAAAGTCACCTTCAGGTGCTTCCTCATAGGACCTTAATGGATAGATACACGCTACAGAGGGCCCATCAGGGAGCTCACATTTTAAAGGTGGGAGGAGGGAGGCAGAACAGAACAGCACGATAAAGAGGCCATGGGACCTTCAGCCTAAGTGGTACTTGCTAACTCAGATGCCCAGAGCAGGCCAGGCAACAAGACAGAGCTGCCCTGGGTCCATATGGCATCTCTGTGTCATTGATGCAATGGGGACGTTCTTCTGGGACAGGCATCCCCATGTTCGGGCCACTACTCAGCAAGCAGAGCCTGAGCACCTTCCAGGCCCCGGTACCATGGCAAGGAGCCTCGCACATGACACACCTGCTCTCTGTGTGCGGTGCCCGGGTATGGCAGCAGGGAGGACCGCGGAGTTTGCTTTCACTAGGGCTGTCACTCAGCCACATGCCCTATAGGCCTGACGTTGTCAGATCTTTCCATTTTGCAAGAGACACTAAGGTTCAGACTGTAATAGGAACTCTCCTGATTTATAAACATAGGCGGCTGTTTAAAATATTTTAAACATCACGTGGGCCCAATGAAACAATGAGTAGCTTCCGAAGCAGAAGGTCAGGAAGTCCAGGCCCCAAGTGTGCTCAGGCTTGAGGGAAAGCCCTTAAGGTGACAGCGGTGGGATTCTAGAGTGTGAGGCAGAGAAGAAAGGCAAGCGAAGAAGCTCTAGGCCTTTCACTCGGGGTGGACCATGAGGAAAATGAACTGTGGGAATGCTCTGCTTTTTCTTGTTTCTGTGCCTTCTATTATGAGAAAGGCAGGAGGCTGGGCCTGGTGGCACACGCCTGTAATCTCAGCACTTTGGGAGACTGAGATGGGAGGATTGCTTGAGCCCAAGAGTTCAAGATAAGGCTGAGCAACATAGCAAGACCATATACAGAATAGACAGGCATGGTGGCACACACCTGTAGTACTAGCTACTCAGAAGGCTGAGGTGGGAGGATTGCTTGAATCCAGGAGTTTGAGGCTACAGTGAGCTGTGATCACATCACTGCACTCCAGCCTGGGAGACAGAGCAAGACTCCATCTCTAAAAAATAAAATTAAAAAGGAGGAGAGCTGGAGAAGGTGGAACAGGCTAAGAGTGAAAGGAAGGTTCACACTGAAGTAGCACTCAGCTTCTGCAACAGTCCAGACTTCTGGCCTAGCAAGGCCATCATAAGAGCTGACACATTAGTGTAGACAAAACGGCAGACACCATTTTAGGCATTTCAACTCATTTAATCCCATCAACATCCCTATTCAACAGGTCTTGGTATAATCCTCACTTTACAGATTAGTACATTGAGACACAGAGAGGTTAAATCACTTGCCCAAGGTCACACAGCTAGCAAACGGCAGAGCTGGGATTTGCACCCAGGCAGCCTGGCTCCAGAGCTCATGTTCTTAGCCACTACCTCCGCTCAGCATGAGAAACATGGCAGACAACACTCAGCTTCAGGGGACATGGCAGACAACATTTATCTTTGAGAATCCCGGGGAAACAGAGGGAACCAGAAGACTGCAGAGAGACGTGATGTGTCCTGATTTTTTCTTTTGAAAAGCTTTAAATAAGGTATATTCATACAAAAATACAGACAATAAAACAATGACATACCTGTGTACCCACCGCCCAGATTAAGACGTAAACGTTTCAGTTATTTGTTGCCTGTGGCCCTTCTACACCCATTTGCTCCCTCCTCACTTCCCTGCCTGTTTGTACAATTTTGCCACATCTGTGTATATTCATAAATGGCATATCGAATAGTTGTGCAAGTTTTAAAACTTTATATAAATGGTACTACACACACACACACACACACACACACACACATTTTTTGGGACAGGGTCTCAGTCTGTCACCCAGCAGACTGGATGCAGTGGTATGCTCACAGTTCACTCCAGCCTCAACCTCCAGGGCTCAAGTGATCCTCCCACCTCAGCCTCCCCAGCACTGAGACTACAAGCACACACTACCACGCCTGGCTAATTTTAACATTTTTATACCTAGTTTTGCCATGTTGCACAGGCTAGTCTCAAACTCCTGGGCTCAAGCAATCCACCCACCCACCTCAACCTCTTGAGTAGCTGGGACCACAGGCTCACACCACCACATCCAGCTAATTTTTAATGTTGTTGTTGAGATGGGGGTCTCATTATGTTTCCCAAACTGGTCTCAAACTTCTGGGCTCAAGTGATCCTCCCACTTCGGCCTCTCAAAGTGCTGGGATTACAGGTGTGAGGCACCATGCTCACCTATACTATATTTTATGTAACTCATTTATTCCCTTCAGCAACATATGTAACTCATTTATGCCTTCAGCAACATGTTTTTTGAACCCTGTGGTTTTGAGATTCATCTATGTGACACATGAATTTTACATTCACTTATTTTTGTACTGTTATGCCCAGACCGTTTATTCCCCGAAGAAGACCACCAGAGTCCAGAGTCAAAGCTAAGCAGCAAGGATCTTTATTACAGGTTCGAACCTGGAACTCTCCCTCGCTCGAGAAACGAGACGGGTAGGGGAGCTCCCCCACTGAGCTCCGAACAATGTTATATAGTCTAAGAAAAGTGGGCATAGAGTTATTATACAAATCAGATATATGATTGGCTAGTGTTTGAACAAG